AAAATAGTTATGTTGGTGATTAAGTTTCAACAGGAGTTTTGGAGGGGCATTCAAACCATAGAACTGTGTTCTAATAAAACCATGTTTATGGATGCTAAAATATAGATATATAATTTTCCTGTTCTATAAAATATTGTAATTCCAGCACTTTGGGAAGCCAAGGTGGGCAGAACACGAGGTCAGGGTTCGAGACCAGCCTGACCAACATGGTGAAAGCCCATCTCTATGAAAAAGACAAAAAATTAGCCGGGCGTGGTGGCATGTGCCTGTAATCCCAGCTACTCAGGAGGCTGGGGTAAGAGAATCACTTGAACCTGGGAGGCAAAGGTTGCAGTGAGCTGAGATCACACCACTGCACTCCAGCCTGGGTGACAGAGCGACACTCTTCCTCAAAAAAAAAAAAGAAAAGAAAAAGAAAAAAGAAAACAGGCACCAGGCTAAATTCTGGCTATGGGCTGCAGTTCACGGGCACTGGCATCAGGTCTAGGGCACCTCTCTCAGTAACAAAAACTTCACACACTCACTTCTAATACCATGCATGTGTATGTAACAATACTCAAAAACTGAGCAAGGTGAGGACTGAAAACCATATCAGTTGACACTCCAGAATTTTCTTGCTGAAATCCTTCAGCAAATCATCTTTTAAAGCCCTGAGAATGCATGCTGAGGCATCTGACCTAGAAAATGAGACAAGAAACTCCTGTAAGATTTGAGCGTCCTATTAGCCCACTGTCTCCAGAGACAAAATAAAATAAAATAAAATAACTCTGGTGCATTCAACTTCTCAATCAGAGATGTTTTGGTAAAATGAAGGCATGCCTGCATGTATTCACAAAACCTAGAGGCGAGAAATAAAAAAGGTCTCAGTGTTTCAAACCTGAGTAGCACTGTGTTGTATCCTTCAGCTCAGAATCTGCAGAAGCACTTGGACCAGTTAAAACTCTGCAAGTGGGGTCAGAAGTTCGAGTATTTTATCTTGATCGAGAAGGAGGATGTGGGATGCCCTCCATCCTCCCCTTCCTTTTTTCCTGAAGGGTCTGAAACCATTCCATTTTATTTTTTTCCAAAGTCTGACAATAATCCAGTGGGTCATTCTAACCTTGGAACGAGCCATGCCTGCATGCCATGGAAATTGTCTATGGGGGACTGCCTCCTTGGCTATCTTCTGCAGCCTACATCTGGACCAGTTAACAATCTGAACCCTCAGCTTCCTGGATGTAAATCTTTCCCCAGACTAGCTGAGAACTAGGAGTTGACTCAAGAATGCACTAAACAGGCCGGGTGCGGTGGCTCAAGCCTGTAATCCCAGCACTTTGGGAGGCCGAGGCGGGTGGATCACGAGGTCTAGAGATCGAGACCAACCTGGTCAACATGGTGAAACCCCGTCTCTACTAAAAATACAAAAAATTAGCTGGGCATGGTGGCGCGTGCCTGTAATCCCAGCTACTCAGGAGGCTGAGGCAGGAGAATTGCCTGAACCCAGGAGGCGGAGGTTGCGGTGAGCCGAGATCGCGCCATTGCACTCCAGCCTGGGTAACAAGAGCGAAACTCCGTCTCAAAAAAAAAAAAAAGAATGCACTAAACAGTTTCCCCCCACTACCCTGTACCTCCACAATCAAAAGTGTTAAGGTCCGGGCACAGTGGCTCATGCCTGTAATGAGCACTTTGGGAGTCCAAGGAAGGTGGCTTGCTTGAGCCCAGGAGTCCAAGATCAGCCTGGGCAACATGGCAAAACCCCATCTCAACTAAAAATACAAAAAAATTAGCTGGGTGTGGTGGTAGGTGCCTGTAATCCCAGCTACTCCAAAGGTCTTGAGGCAGGAGAATCACTTGAATCTGGGAGGTAGAGGTTGCAGTGAGCCAAGATTGCACCACTGTACTCCAGCTGAAGCAATGCAGTGAGACTCAGTCTCAAATTAATTAATTAATTTAATTAAACAAAAAAGAGTAGGCCAGACACAGTTGCTCATGCCTCTAATCCCAGCACTTTGGAAGGCCGAGACAGGTAGACCACAAGGCCAGGAGTTTGAGACCAATCTGGCCAAGATACTGAAGCCCCGACTCTACTAAAAATACAAAAAAAAAAAAAATAAGTTGGGTGTGGTGGCACATGCCTGTAGTCTCAGCTACTCGGGAGGCTGAGGTGGGAGAATCACTTGAACCTGGGAGGCAGAGGTTACAGTGAGCCGAGACCGTGCCACTGCACTCCAGCCTGGGTGACAGAGCAAGACTCTGTCTCAAAAATAAAAACAAGAAAATAAAAATAAATAAATTTAAAAAGTTAAAAAGAGTGTTAGGAATAAAGCCTGTCAAATCATCACTCCTGCTGCTAAGCATCTCTGGGTGCTTCTGAAATTGCTGTTCAGCTATTTGCAAGACACTAAACATTCCCGAAAGCATGCTAGCATGTTGAGAATTTCCCTAAAGGACTGTACCCAGAGGCATTGCTCTCACATGCAGGGTGACCACGTGGGCAACACATCCCAGGACAGTGCCTGCTGCAAACAATCTATCCCTTTACCGTTTACCTAACTGTACTCACAGATCAGGAAAACAGAGTTTGGTCAGACAGAAGCTATGGTCATAATCTCTCTGCAGGTGGACTTTTAACTACATTTCTTCAAATGGCAACAAATGCAGACACAACTCACCAGTCATACACACTCTACGCTACCTCATTCTCCCATTTTAGGGTGTTGAGAGCCCAAATTAATCATGGCTGGGTGGGGTGGCTCACACCCGTAATCCCAGCACTTTGGGAGGCCCAGGTGGGTGGATCAATTGAGCTCAGGAGTTTAAGACCAGCCTGGGCAACATGGCAAGACCCTGTTTCTACAAAAAATACAAAAATTAGCCAACCATGGTGGCATGCAACTGTAGTCTTTGCTACTCAGGAGGCTGAGGCAGGAGGATTGCTCGAGCCTGGGAGGTCGAGGCTGCAGCGAGGCGTGATCACACCACTGCACTCCAGCCTGAGTCACACATAGAGTGAGGCCCAGTCTCAAAGGAAAAAAGCAAAAAGTCACATCTGAAAACTTCTGAAGAGTCCAAAGGCAAACACCATAGCTCATGGGCCATTATGACAAATGCTCAATGAGTCAATATTAAGATAGAAATCCTGGTGAGTTGCATATGTGTTCCAGAAGATTAAAATCAGGAAGGCAAAGGAAAATGGAAAGCTGGTACTTGGCACCCATGAAAGACCCAATCTCCCTGCCCTGCCAGGCGGAGTTTCTTCTTCCCGTCCTCAGGATCAGCCCGGCATCAGCAATTAGCTCAGCCCACTGAGGCCTGGTTGCTGCTGGCTGATTTTTGTCTCTCCAGTCAGGAGCCAACCACAGGCCTCCTGAACCTCCAGCACCCTGGCTGATGAAGGACAACCACACAGATCAACTGCCAAATAAATTCCTCTCTGTTGTCCTGCAATGTGCTAATTGCCTGTAATAAGCACATTACAATAATTAAGGATGATTACGCCAAACCTTTGACTGAGGTAGCAATCCATCCACAAATTGCAAGGGCTTTCCTAAATCTTAATTAAAGAGCACACCAGCCACCTGAGCTAAGGCAGAATTCTTCCATTTTCAAGACGGGGAAAACCGAGGTGCAGGGTGGCAGGTTGCTTATTCTATTATGTAAGACAAACTTCTACATTTTAATTGGTTTAAATTAAAAGTTATACATCATCTGTAAGGAGTTTGTTAAATAAATTGCTTAGCCCTCCCAAAGAATGATAGGTAGTTGTAAAAATTCATGCTTTCAAAGACATGGGAACATGCGTGTTACGGGATTTTAAGGGAATTAAGAAAAGCAAATGCTGTATGTGTAGGATGGTGTCGGTCGACTGTGAAAACACGTGCTGGTGTGCATGTCTGTATCAAGACTAGATCATAGTGTTAGCAAGGGTCAGCAGTTTCTTGTGTGATTCAAGATGATCTTTCATGTTTTCTATACTTTTCTGTCACTTCTAGATTTTCTACAACAAACATAATCTTTTAGAATAGGAAAAAAGATATGTTTTAAAGATCTTTTAAAGGTATTTTAATTTCTTTAAAAAAGATATCTTAAAAGACTTTCCTATTCTTTTTTAAATCAGCCTCCTTGGCCCTCCCTTATTAACTCTTTAAATGCATGCAGGACGTTCGCTCTGCAACCCTCTTCTCCTGGGCCACCTGTAGTGGGGTTTGTGGTGAATTGACCAGCTTGTCGTCGGGGTGGGACTCCTGGAGACACCTCCTTGGAATTTGCTCAGAGCGGTTGGGAATATCCAGCAAAGTCTGGGGCCAAATCCCAGGTCTCCATCCAGAAGGGCTCAGGAGCCCCCGTGGACTCCGTTCAGAGTCCATGGAGTGACCTCTGTGGCCACGCCTTTCCTGGAAACGGACGTGTGTGCCAGGCACCTCCTTCTCAGCCCACCCAGCTGTCTGGTGATCAGGGAGAGAAGAAAAAGCAGCCCCAGCATCAAAGACTTAGCAACTGCCTGGTGACATCCTCTCCGGCCAGCTGGAGGTGTCAGCTCGAGGCTGGACTCTGTTTCCTGCTGCGAGGGCAGCTGCTTCCCCCTTTCCTTCAACTCAGAGGTGAAAGGTTCGCACCATCCTGCAAAACCCACCCTCCAGCCTTTAACTTCCACACCCTAAACAAAACGGCAACCAGACGTCATGAGCCCAAGCTGGAACCACCACCATCCCCCTACCCACTGCCGCAGGATGGGCAATGTGAAGGGACCTTTGCCCACCACGAACATTGTCCCACTATACCCCAAAAGGAAAGAGCCATCTTCCCTTAACCGCCTTCCGATCTGACCCCGGATGCTCAGGCCGCTCGGCCGTTGCCGGGGCAGGGACTCTGGGCGGCCCGGCATTGCTCAATCCCTCTTCACACAGGCTGACTCTCTCCACAGCAATCTGGGGAATTTGGGCTGTTCTGGGGTGGAGCTGGGGACAACCGTGTGCGTTAAGCAACAGCAGCGTCCTCGACTTTTTTCTGGCTCTTGGCTCTGCAGGGACATCCAGGCAAGTCTGATTTGTCCCTGTGGAGCTGAGAATCGCAGTGACCGCCTGCTCTTCGTTTCTCTTCCTGCAGAGCTGTGACCCATTTTGCGAGGAACCTTGCACATGTCTCATCTTCATTAAGCTGTTCGTGAACTCCAGCTTCCGGGAGAAAGGCCAGTTCTCCCAAGACCTTCGAGGGCTATTGGGACTGAGAAAGGCTGGGTGGGCCGGGAGGGGCTGGTGGACGTGGGGAGCGAGGTGGCGGGCCACCCCGTTGACAGACCCCTCCAGGAGAGAAGCGCTGTTGGAGCTGGGCCTGGGTGCAAAGGGGGAGAGAGGGCCAGGTGCTCTGGGAGGGAGCCCTAATCACAAGCTGCAGGGAGGAAGAGAGGAGGAAAGGGGACGGGCCTGGGACCCCCAGTAGGGGGCTGAGCTGGGGACAGGCACAGAGCAGAAAGGAAGCCATCTACCCTTTAAGACGCCTCCAAAAAAAAAAAAAAAAAAACCCAGGACTCCCTCGTACCTTCCAACTTGCCTGTCAGCATCTATTGAGCGTCTCTCATGCGGAGCTCAAACGAGAGAAACGCAGTCTGCGCCACAGCGGGCCGGCCAGCTGCGGGGCGCCCGCCCATTTGGAGAGAGAACGAAGATTGCAGCGTGCTGGAGAGGACCATGAGGGGCTCCTGGCCGGCCCTCCCTTCCCCTGCTTCAGAGAGCACTGTGACTGGCCCTCAAGCCTCGCACGCCTGCAGCCTCTGACTCCCACAGCTGGCTGCTCTTCCTGGTGGCTCCAGTCCTTTCCTCTCTCCCAGCACCCACCCAGCCCCCGACACGCCTCCCCAGGATCACCAACACCGCACCTCCAGCTCTGCCTCTGGCGCCCTTGGCTTCCACGCGGGGGTTCCTCCAGCACGCGCTGTGGAGGCTGTGGCTCAGGAAAGCCCCATCCACGCTCTCGGCAACTGCACCCTGGAAAGCAGCCGGCGGCCCCATGAGCCTCACTTCACCTGACCGGTCCACAGAATGGGTTGAAATGATCCAAGGTGAGAGAGCCAGGCCCAGCTGCCCAGCTGGCCAGACCTGGGCACTCACTAAGGGATGATGTCAATCATAACCTCGACTGTTGTTAATCCCACAGGCAGGTGGCTTTTTGTCCCAAATATGCAACAGGCACGAAGCACGGAGTTGGGAATCCAGGAGACTTGGATGTCCACCCTGTTCTTGCTCCCGGCGCTGGGGAACCATGAGCCAGCCTCCAGTTCCTCATTTATCAGAAGTGGTTGATGACGTGCCTTGGAAATTCACACCAACACTAAGTAAAATCAAAGAGATGGCAAGGACAAACCATGTGCCTTCAGAAACTGCTTCCCGGACACCTGCGTGCTCATTCTCTTACCCATGTCTCCACTCCAGTCCTGCAGGCACCTCAGGAAGGGGCTGGGTGAGTGTTGGATCCAGTCGCAGCTGGAGAGCAGGTGAGCCAGGACCCCACCCAGGGCCGCTGTCCTATATCGCAGGCAATCATGCATATGGGAGAGAGATAAAGCCCTAAATACTCATTTAGAGCTAGCTGAGAAGTAAATATAATTCATGGGCCAAAGATACAGAAATGTCTTTCCCAGCAGGAGGCAAGCTGGTGGCACCTGCTCCCCGGGGCCTGACACCCTCATTTCTGCCTCTCAGGTACCTGAGGCTCTCAGAGGATTTACTCCCTCTAAAGGCCAACCCGAGACCTTCACTTAGCTCAAAATGTAGTTCAAGGAGAGAAACTAAGAAAAGGGAATGGGAGTAGGGGAAGGAAAAATTATCTTTTTCTCCCACCAAAGAACGGCTTGCAAACATGGAGAAACGTGAAGCTGCCGGACACCATCGTGTCGGGCATGAATTCAGTCCCAGGGGAATCGGCCACCCTGAAATGCTGAGCAAAAGCTGCCCAGAGAAAGGCAGGCCCCTCCTCAGGTCAAGGCTTTCTCGGTTCAGAAGGTGGCCTTCCATCACAAACTGCTCGCCCGCCCACAGTGTCAGGCTGCAGTGTCTGGAACACAACCAGGAGCCCGGGGTTAATGAGGTGCAGGCGGAGCCCAGGCCACCAGAGGGTGAATTAAGGCCGCACTGAGCTGCGCACCTGTGTCTCAACACTTGGACTGAACTCCAGACCTGAGTGCCGGGGACACCGGGCCAAAAGCAGGGAAGGAATGCGTGGCTGCTGCCCACGCCGTCACCTTGGCTGGCAGCCACAGCTGACCTGGAGGGTGAAGGCCTGGATGTCATTCCTCCATAGGAAACTGTTCTAGCCCCGGGCTGGAGGAACGCCAAGGCCTTGGCCCACAGAAGCCCCCGTGAGGCCCAGGCCAGCCATGGCCCATCTTCTCAAGCCCTGTTCGAGAAGAAAGGGGAAAAGGTGAGCTTCCACTTATACTCAGCAGCTATAGGATTTGGGAAGGCATTAACCTCTGCACTTAGTTGTTTTTTTGTTTGTTTGTTTGTTTGTTTTTTCTTTTTTCTTTTGAGACAGAGTCTGTCACCCAGGCTGGAGTGCAATGGCGCAATCTCAGCTCACTGCAATATCTGACCCCTGGGTTCAAGCAATTCCCCTGCCTCAGCCTCCCAGGTAGCTAGGACCACAGCTACACGCCACCATGCCCAGCTAATTTTTGCATTTTTAGTAAAGACGGGGTTTCACCATGTTGGCAAAGCTGGTCTCAAACTTCTGACTTCAGGTGATCCGCCCACCTCGGTCTCCCAAACTGCTGGGATTACATGGATGAGCCACCGCGCCTGGCCAGCAGTGTCACCTTTAAAGGGATCTCTCTGGGTGCTGTGTAGAGAACAGCTGGCGGATGGCACCCAGAGTGAGGCAGGGACCAGGGCAATAGCTGTGGGGTTGCCGAGAGGGGGCAGACTCTGGACAATTGTTGAGGAAATTTGCACAGAACATGCTGGGATTCAATAAGCCCAGCATGTCCACCTGTGGAGCCAGGACCCCAGGGGAGCCACAGCAGGGCCAGAGCAGAGGAGAGAGAAGACACGCTGGGACCCAGAGCACCTCTGCCTCCATCCATCGATCTTCTGAGACTCACACTAGCTCCTCTTGTGGGTTTGTCATGTAAAATACAGGATGTCCCACTAAATTTGAATTGTGGATCCACAGTGGATAATTTTTTAGGCATAAGTATGTCCCATGTAATATGTGGCATATGCTTATACTGAAAAAGTATCAGCTATGATTGATCTGCAGTTCAACTCTAACTAGAAGTTTTGTTATTTTGTTTGTTAAATGGGCCAAGTCTTAACAGAACTCCCCAAAAAAGGAGATTCTGGAAAATATATTCCCAGCTTGACCAAGGCAGGGTTCCCAGCCCCAGGAGCTGACAAAAACAACCACTACCAGGACTGAGTGTTGACCATGCACCCAGCACTGTGCCCACGTGTTGAGCACTTCATCTCATTCCACAGCCCAGAGGATTACATTTCATGACTACTGGTTTGCAGAGGAGAAAAACTGAGGTTCACAAAGAGAAGCTAACTTACCAAAATTACACAGGTGGAAATAATAACAGCTAACACTTACACGGCACACATGAGTTCCGGCATGGGTCTAAATGGATCTCACTTAATCCCTTTTCACAGCTCTACGAGAGAGGAACTGCTATTGAACCAATTTCACAGATAAGGAAACTAAATTGCATTGGGGTTAAGCAGCCCAGTCAGGATTTGAACCCAGCAGTGTTGCTGTAGAATCTGTGCTCTTACCCAGTATCTCAAACTACCACTGAACCACTTCTAAGGCCGCCTGCCCACTCTTAATGAAACAATGTTAATGCACAAGAAATGCTCACAGTGTCCTACTGGAGGAATATGGAGAGCTCATTGGAGTGCTATGGAATGGGACAAACTGACAACAGAGGAGATGGAAATCATTGAGGGGGAACCTAAGGAGGGTTCATGGAGGGGGAGGAAGACAAGTAGGAGATCTGAACACTTGGAAGATGTGGCAAAAGTGAGGCTAACTTAATATCCACGTTAGGAACTATAAACATGTAATGTAAATATCACTGATTTCTGAGTTCTTCGTATAAGCCAGGTGCTGTAGTAAGCTTAGAATTTATCTCCCTCTAGCCTGGGTAATTCCATGAGACCCTGTCTCTACAAAAAATTGAAAAATTAGCCAGGCATGGTGCTCATGCCTGTGGTTCCAGCTACTCAGGAGGCTGAAGTGAGAGGACTGCTTGAGCCCAGGAGGTTGAGGCTGCAGTGACAGAGCAAAGACCTTTGTCTCAAATAAGAAAAAAAAAAAAAAAAAAATATATATATATATATATATCTCTTTCTCAGTCCTTGAAGTCACCCCCAAGGCAATATTGTCCTCATCTTGCACACTACAAAACTGGGGTTCAGGGAGGCCAAGCAACTGGCCTGAGGTCACCCCACCAGGAAGAGACAGATGCAGGATTGCAACCAGCACAGCAACTTCAAAGCCAGTGCATCTGCAGTGTTACCTTTCCTCTTGGCATGCTTGGAAGGATTTCCATCCCTAAAGTCAAAACAGAGGCACCTGTTGAATGGCTGGATCCAACAACATGTAGGTCATCGCAGCTTCTGCAAGTGGATTTGCTCTGAGAAATACGGTCTTCATCTCAGAACCATGCAAAGATGCCCTCCTTGGCTGTCTGAGCAGCCTTTGCTGCCAGGCCCTATTGGCAGAGGAAAGGTGAGCCACCTGCACTGGGTCAGGAAATGCTGCAACCCCCTCCTTGGGCAGAGAGTTGGCCCCACAGAGAAAACCTGGGTGGAGAATTGCATCCAGGAAGAATGGAGGAAAGACAAAGGAAATGGTTGCCTCCTCCCCTGGGCACCCACCCTCAGAGCCACCACCCCTGTTGCTCACAACTTCATCCATTCCTTTCCTTGGGGATCCACGGGTTTTCCAAGAATGCTTTAGTGCAGTGCTTCACAGCTTTGACTTTTGGGCAAGGTTTGGCCACTGTGAGCAATTTGATGACTCCATTTCGGTTTCTAAAAACCTTCTTGGGGCAAATGCAGAAATAAGTACAAAAAAAGTGAACCAACCTGGAGAAAACCTGCCGGCCTGGAAGAGAGAATGGACGTGTCCATGGGCAGGGCCACCCGTACGCGTGATGACCAAGGTAACTGTGAGTCACAGATTAGAACTGGGGCAGCTCTGGGTGTTAGAATGCAACGTGGAAGCATTAATGAGTCACCATTCAGCTGGGATTCAAGAAAAATGGAGTTTGCAGATGTAGACTCCTTGTCTGAGACTTCTTTTAAGAGCCCTCCTGGCATTGTGATATATTCTATTTGCTCCATCAGCCCTGGGCTCTCAGTGATTGGAGGGGTCTGTGTGAGTGGTTCCAGACCAGCTCATGATGTTACTAGGTCATATTATCACCTAGAAGCCTGCAGCTTCCATAGCAGTCTCTGTGCTTTTTCTAGATAGCGAGCTATAATTAGGGTGAGCTCACAGCTGAAAGTCAGACAGAAATGCAGATGAAACCAACCAGCCTCAGATTCCAAAGCAGCTAATAAAAACATAACATACCAATAAGAATGCTGGTACACACAGGAAGGAAGCCGAAGCCCCTTGCTGTGTGCATTAGGAAGAATTTAACTTTTTGCTAGTTAATTTTGTAATTTTTTAATCTCTTGTAAGATCGTGCGCCATTTGAAATAAGAAAAAAATGTTTTAAAATTTTTTTAAGGAGATAAAGATAATGAAAGAAAGGATCCTTCAGGACAGGCATTTTACCTGCAAAACACATAGAAAAGTTTTCCTTCTTAGTAAAATAATGCAGGCTTTACTATTGCAGGAGGGACATTGACTCAAAATGCTTTTGAAGCTCAGGCTCTAATCAATTTCCCTCTACTGAAGGAGGCTTCAGCTCTTTGGTTTAAAATAACCCAGCGGATGGCCCTTAATTTCAGGAATTGTTCTATGCAGTGTTTTCTCAGCAGGATGCAGAAAGCAATCCCCACTGTGGCCCAGGGAAGAGCAGGCCTTGAAGGCTCCATCAGCAGCAGCCTGTGGTCACTTCTGGATTGGTTCCCAGCTGGAGCCCATCCTCCTGACCTGCTTTGGTCCCACACCCCACAGAGGAAAGTCACTATTAATACCCTATCCAGGTCCCTGCAGGAAGCTCTGCCTTCTCCAGATGCCACTTAGGAGTCAATCCTTCTTCCAAAGAAAGAGAGCACAGAACGCAAACTTGCATCAGGTTGAAGAGGCTGGGGACAGGGGCAACCCAGGCTGCTCATCCACAGATCACCGTCACTCGGCTCCTAAAGAGCACATCGTTATGGAGGAAGGACTGACAGAAAACATGCCCTGTGGGCCCCAGGCCCACCCCTCATTGGCTGCACCTCTGGTCTCTGCCATTACTCACCTGCAGACAACCGCCTCCCGCTCTCACTTTCATCCCTGGGGTTCCTGCAACTACATCCTCCCTGGTCTCCTGGCTCTGCCCTTTTGGGCCTCCATGCAGGACTCAGAGAGATTCTTTCACAAAGTGAGTCAGGTGGAAACCACTCAAATGTCCATCACCTGATGCATGGAGAAATAAAATGTGTGTCTTCACGTGATGGATTGTTTCTTGGCCATGGCAAAGGATAAAGGGCCGGCCCGTGCTCCAACGCTTCAGCGTGGATGAACTTTGACAACATCTGCTGAGAAAAAGAAACTATCACTAAAGACTTGTAGGATTCCATAGATATGAAATACCCAGAATAGGCAAATCCACAGACACAGAAAGTGATTGCCAGGGGCTAGGGGGTGGGGGGACGAGGAGTGACTGTGCACAGACTAAGAGTCTCTTTGGGGTGATGAAGGTATTCTGGAATTAGAAAGCGGAGATAGCTGTACAACATTATGAATCTACTGAATTAAACACTTTAAAATCACTAAAATGGTGACTTTTATCTTATGTGCCTTTTATAGCAATTTTTATTTATTACTTTTTTGAGACAGGGTCTTGCTTTGCTGCCCAGGCTGGAATGCACTGGTGTGATCACAGCTCACGGCAGCCTTGACCTCCTGGGCTCAAGCGATTCTCCTACCTCAGCCCCCTGAGTAGCTGAGACTACAGGTGTATGCCATCATGCTTGGCTAATTTTGTATTCTTTGTAGGGACCCTACGTGTTGCCCAGGCTGTTCTCAAACTCCTGTCCTCAAACAATCCTCCCACCTCAGCCTCCCAAAGTGCTTGGATTACAGGCATGAGCACCAATTAAAAAAAAAAAAATGTAAGTCAGAACATCACTTAGCCTAACTGAGCAGACCAGAAGCCCCTCCATCTCGCCCTGACACCTCGCCATGTCCTCCGGGGTTCTCCCACTGTGCTCTCACGCCTGGACCCTTCCCTGCTGGCACCTCCTACCTCCACTGTCCTGTCCCCGCTCTTCAGCCACACTGGCTTCCTTCCTTACTGAACCTTGAACTGCCCAAGTACATGCTCACTCAGGGCCTTGGCACAAGCCATTCCCTTTGCTGGAAACATCTTCCCCGGGTCTTCCGACGGCTCCCTCACTCCATCAGGCCTCATCTCAGAAGCCACCTTCTCTCACATGCTGGGCTAAAATGCCTCCCACCCCTGGCATTTTAGCCCAACTCTCCTGTCTGGACTTCTTCCTCTTCTCTTGGCACCACCCCTCCCAAACCCATACATTTGTTCACTAACATATGTGATGGTTTAGCGTGCGTCTCCTGCACACCAGGTCAGCTCCGTGAGAGCAAGGACCAGGTCTGGTTTCATCCACTGCAGTTTCTCAGTGCACAGGACAGTGCCTGGGATGGAGTGCTGAGTAGATCCAATGACATAGCACCATTTATGTCTAAACTATTAGAAAACCAGGCCAGGCGCAGTGGCTCATACCTGTAATCCCAACACTGTGGGAGGCCAAGGCAGGTGGATCACCTGAGACCAGGAGTTTGAGACCAGCCTGGCCAACATGGTGAAACCCTGTCTCTACTAAAAACACAAAAAAATTAGCCAGGCATGGTGGCACACACCTGTAGTCCCAGCTACTTGGGAGGCTGAGGCAGGAGAATTGCTTGAACCAGGAGGTGGAGGTTGCAGCGGGCCGAGACCATGCCATTGCCTCCAGCCTGAGCTGGAGTGAGACTCCATCTCAAAAATAAAATACAAATAAATTCTTAGAAAACCATATTTATTTTGAGTATTGATATTATCAAGTAAGTTTGTTTGTACCACCTACTACAAGAGATTCATAGACACAGTGTTGTGGGGTGTAAATAAAGGAAAAGTTTGTCTACCTGGGCATGGGGGGTGCGTGGTCAGGGTAGAATGGAAGCTGAGGTGTGTGGCTAGGAAGTCCCTGGCTCGGGCAGGACACAAGAAGGAATCCATTAGCTCAGGCAGCAACAGGGAGAGTGATGCTTCCCTGTGCCCTCACTGGTCCTCATGATTGTCTTCAAACTTACCAATTACATTAGGAAAGAGGGGCACTTTTTATTAATTAACACTTCTTTGATTGCTAGTGAGGTTGACTCGCTTTCACATGTATATATTAATCACTTCTTTTACTCTTAAGTAATAACTTTTATACTTCTGGAATTAATTTTGTTATATAGAAGAGCCATATGTGCCAAGAATCTCTAAAAAGTTCCCACCATCAACCCAGCAATTCCATTTCTGCAACGCTCTGCAAAGACCCATTTCTCACCCGAGTCATCCCTGAGGCCTCAGGGTCCCCTCAGCTCATCTCCCTGGACATCCATTGTACTGAAAGCCTTTGAGGGTAGGGCTAAATCAATGACTCATTTAACGAATTAGTAATTGAAGACGTTATTTTAACATTGAACATATCAGATCACTTTCAAGAAGAAAGCAACACTCTCCTAAAATTCTAAGAAAAATGTGAAAACCTCAAAGCTTCTCTTGAGGGGTAGGCTTTGGCAGGATGTTGGAGAATCACTATCCACAGTCACACATCTGAGATATCCACCAAGATTTATTTATTCACGATGTTCATCGCAGCACAATTGATTGTGCAAAAAATGGAAACAGTCTGAATATCCAACAGTAGCAAATTGGCTCTATCCACGATGATATGATCTCATATGATGAACAGGGTCCATTGAAACTGTTTCCGTGAAAATGATTTTAGT